CGCTCTATAACAAACGCTATAACTCACGAGCTCGACTTCAACAATACTCCGTTCAATTACACACTCTCTGACTGCAGTTCAATTACTCATTACCTACACACATTGTCCCGTCAGGTTGTGACCATCCCATATATACCAGACTACCCCCAATCTAGTAAATGCTAGGGCATTCACGAAGGAACAGGTTATTTCTGGAAAGCAGGTGGCGTGACACTAGTCACGTGACCTCGCTGACGCAACAATATAAAATTAACAAAACAGCAAGTGTACAACGTTTCGACAAGGTTTTGTCATCATCATGCCGTCTCCAGCCACTATTAGTCTCAAAGTGGGTTCCTCGTCATCGAATTTGAACACTCATACATGTTTCAAGCATATGTAGTACGTGTAGCCTGAAGAGAACTACATTTGAGATGTGCTGACCTTATTCTCAATTAGTCACACATTATCAGTAATCATTCGTTTGAAACTTTATCACGAAAGGTGGTGCCGGATAATTCTTCATTTTGGACTTGTGCCAAAGCATTATTTAATAACATCACTCATATAAATGGTTAGAAATACCCGAAAGCTCTCTCTTCCATATTTATACTAATGGTATAAGTAGTATGAGTGGTAAGTGTAATCTAAGAGAGTTGACTCAATTTACATATAAAGATTGATTCTCTCAGCCTACTACATCATCTTTATCCACGTAATGAGAAGTACAGAGGCATGTGTATGCCTGGTGTCAATGATGTGATATTCTCAGTTTGCCTTGACTTCCTTAAGAGCAGACTTCAGGATCCACAAAATAATAGAAGGATTCGCTGGGTACTATTTCACCACTGTCGTAACACTGCCCCTTCCTTAGTATTGTTCGGGACGAACAATAGTCACTTACATTAAACCAATAAACAATTAACAATAACTTAATTAAATTTACAGAATTTACAAACACAAAATCAAAATTCAACAAAGTCTCTTTATTTTACGGGACGTATCTTCTTCCGTACTGGTCTCCGTCTCGTTGGCTTCTGCTTCGTGTGGGGTTCATCTGCTTCATCAGGAAACGTTCTATCATTGGTAACAGTCACATCAGTGGTAGTAACTTCATCAAGGGCTTCACTGTTTCCCTTCTCAAAACCAGGTAGAGAATCTTCTAAGACAGTGGCTTTTTCAGGTGACATATCTTCAGCAGCGTCATTTGCTCCGTTGTTCACTTCCTCCCAACAGAAATGTCCTG